GCTATTACACTTTGGCTCTTTTGTTTTATATTGTCTCTACGCCACTATTACGTTCTTTTACACTCTAATTATTACACTTTGTTTCACGGTTTTATGAAAACCACCCTAATAATATATAGTGCAATTCCTATTTCACAGACGGATGAAAATGGCTCTATCAAATGATAAAAATCAATCTCTGAACTAACTTTGTAGGATTTTGCTTACCGAAATTAGATTTATATTTACATTTCAATTAATAGTGCTATCTACACATTTAGGCTTTCATGCACGTGTTTGTATAAATATTCAAGATCATCATTACGATCACAAACTTCCAACGATCAAATGTTCGGTGGAACTGTCGAAATTGAGACAACGTCCGAGGTTCCAGGACGGGGGAGGTAGGGGTTCCGCCGGTTCCGCTGGAGCTGTGCTGTCGTTTGCTTGTGATCAATCATCACAAAAAAACAATCCATTCATGTCATTTTATGATAAAAGGCTATAAAAACGCATCGTCTATTTTCTATTCACTTTATAATTAGCTTGCCCAGATGCAATTACTATTAGGTGAAAGGAAAACTTTGTTCGTTTCGATCCGTCCCATTCTGCCACGTCAAGAAAGAGTGAGATAGGACTTGTGACGAGTGACGTAACCAGTCGCACCCAGTCTGCATGACGTCTTTTATTTCATATTTGATTGAGTTCGAGCTCAAAGGTGTAGAAGGTTTCTAATTGAAGTATTGCTTCAAATTACTGCCTTTTCAAGCGTTTAAACTTCATGTTTACCACATAACACAGGGAATCTTACATTGGAAGCCACAGTTATTCGTCTGTTGTGTAAAATCAGAAACTTATTAACGTCTGAAAGTCTCGAAAGCTGCTTTGTTCAGTCAAGCAAATAGAAGCACTTTATAGTTCTAATCTCGCTTTAGATTACAAGTCTAATGTTGCTTTTCATCGAACTTCTACCAGGTAAAATATCTTTTGATATGACTTGTAAGTCGTCTTTATGTTTTAGCTGTAGTTTGCAGATACATGTTAAAATTAATGACTTATTGCTTCATTTCCGCACAATCAAAATAGAATGTGTTGTCAATTATGCTAATTTAGTTCTTTGACTAAACTTGATATTTTCTCGTGCAGAACGAATCTAGAAGACATACCACTAAATTGATGAGCGATTAATAAAGAAGAAAGGTAAGATTTACTGGGATATCCTGATGATAAATGTTAYTAAATATTCATGATTAAAGACACAAAAATATGCAAAGATTTGACACTATTTTAACAAAATAATGATCGATATAAACATAATAAAACATTGGAAACGATCTGTTTATCGCACCTTTCAGGTTTTAGATGTTCTAGGAATTAAGTATAATAGATTGTCCAAATTATTGATTACAAGTATTTTTATTTCAGGCTTGTGATTTGTCTCTCAAATACACTTTATACCTWCTTTGGGATCTGRAGGTKAATCTGAGTAMATACACCAGTGATGCCCTTCGAAGATAACTTAGGATATAGAACACCACCAGCAGATGGAAGTGAAGGAACAGCTTCAATCAAACTGACTCTTAAAGGCAAGGAGGAACCATTGAAACTGAATGGTTGTTTTATTCCTTATGATGAAAATTTGAAGAAGCTGATTAATGATCAAACATATTTGGGAAAACATGAGAAAACAAAGTTTTTCATATATTTTTGTTGTATGGATAAGAATTTGGAAAACAATGTCGTGAAAACTGAGATAAATGCTCACCGCTTTACTAAACCAAACAGAGATAAACAATGTACTATAGATCACGGACCAGAGAGTGCATTCTTTCTCTATAAAGAATGCCATGTATTTTTGCCAGCCTGTCATATAGACCTAAAGACAACAGAATTTGAGAAATTCCTAGAAAAGTATAGTAAGAAAATTCCCTCTCAATTCCATCAAGTCACAGCAAATGGCCAGTATAAAGGACTAACACAGAACGATGGATTAGTTAAATTCCTACCAGTCAAGTTAACATCAAGCAATGGATGCCAAGTTTTGGAAGATAGCAGCTTCATTAAGGTGGTGAATGGCCCATTCCTGGACTCCAATGAAGTAGTTGGATATTGCTGCAAAGAATCAGATGGTAGCAGAATAAATGTCTACATGCTAGGAACACAAGGTGAGATGACACTTCATGTAACACCTTCATTTTCATAAAGCATAGTCAAATATCAGTTGTACATTGTTGAATTGTGTTATGTAGGGGAAGGCAAGGGGGGCTAACATCTAATATAAGTAATGATAAAAACTAGAATTTCAGGAGCACTTGCAGGGGTTTCATCAGAGAGGGGCTACAGCTGGGATGGTGATTGGGGGGGAGGGGGGAGGTATAATTTTTGATTGATTTGGTGACTTATTAAAGTCTCATATTTCAAAGTCTTCGTCTGCTAAGGCAGTGAAAACCCAGAATCCCTTTAACTCCTGCACATGCCCCTGAAATTGAATGAATGAAAATAATGGAAATTGGACAAAGCAGGACTGCTCTACAGCCACACTAACACTTGAACCATTGAAGTTTCTTTTGAAACTTATTATTATCACATTAGATCATTAAGGCAAGTTGTCTATGAAATAGATTCATTGCTTTATTGCAAATACTTTGTCTATGTTGCTGGTCTTCTCTCTGTGTAGACATTTTATTCTTAAGAGTCATTAGATTCTTCTAATATGTATGATTTTGATTAACTATTTACTGGGTTGAACTTGTCAGCTGGTAACCAATCTGACATTTGCTCTTTACAGATGTAACAGTAGTCTCATCAGGAATAACTGGCCCATCTCGAGGTAACATTCTCTTTATTAAAAACTGTCAAAATAGTATATTAAAGGGAAAAAAAATCAATTTTTGTCGTCATTTTTTTCTCAAATCAATAAACACTGAAACTCTATAAATGAATAAAAAATCCTTATTTATATAAATCAAATTTGTGTAAGTAATAATGATTGTCGTAGTGCATTATAATAATCTCAGCGATTATCAATAAACTGGTCGCCCGAAAAAAGTTCGAGCATGGATGGGGTCACTCAAGATGAAATGACTGCTCGCCAAAAGTTTCCTTTTTATAGCTAAGTTGGTAGAACACTGTTATTATTATTATTATCTTTATTCTTTACACATTTATTCACCGAAGTTAGTACCATCATTTCATCATATATTAAATTGATTGTGTTTCATTATCAGAMGTGGAATTGTATTCCGCCAAACTCAAGGAAGCGATAACAAAGCAAACAGACTTGCTACCAAGAGGAATAGCTCAATCAAMACTGAAAACTGACGATATATTCACAAATCTAACTGTCTACCAAGGCAAACAAAAATCTCTACAAGAAAAAAMCCAAGAAGATCAYCGCACACGAAAAACKGTGACCAAAATCACAGAGATATTYGTTGACGAAAACGAAGACAAYCCAAAAACAATTTTGGTTTCAGGCGAACCTGGTATCGGAAAAACGATGTTCTCGCACAAAATCGTYAGAGACTGGTCAACAAATTGCATATCGATCCCTRAWATYAARTTSACKTACCTGATAAYGTTCAGGCAACTWGTCATGCTTGGCAACMAAGAGCTCACCCTCAGAGAACTGCTTAATCGCTCTCCTTTCYTGAACACAAGCACCATGATGGACGATACARTAATGGCGCACGCCATTCACCATTCAGAGCAGTTCTTCGTTGTCCTTGATGGCTTTGATGAATACAAAGACCACAACAAAATATTGGGAAGTTATGAAAGCCAATTCCCCAATGATGCAGAAACCAAGATGCCGATAGCTGCCTTGATGAGCAAACTAATCCGAAGAAAGATCTTGTGCGATTCAGTCATCATGATAACCTCAAGACCGGGCGAAGCCAGCAAGTTAGATGAAAAACTGCACTTTGACCGATGTGTAGAAATTACAGGTTTCTCAGAAGAACAGGTCCTTCAATATGTTGAGAAGTATTTCCACTCTAAACCAGAAGAAGTAAAAAAGATGGCCATGGAGAAAGTCAAAGGAACCGCACATTACATGTCATTTGGTCGCGTCCCTCTGAGGTGTTTGTTCGTGTGCCAAGTCATCGAGTGGGAAATCAAAAACAAAATTACTAGAAATAATTTAGTTCCCCTTACACTCGCTCAGTTTTATCGTGATATTATTAGTTGCCTAGAAAGAGCTAATAGAGAGATGGATAGTTTAGATGAAGAAGCGGCATCGTTGGCTGTTGAGAAAACCCTCAATAACTTTTCTGAACTAGCCGCACAGTTAGCTGAACAAAAACGCTTTATTTTCACACAAAAAGACTTAGAAAAGCTAAAATTACCTGAAAATGAAACATCTTACCTTAAATCAAGTAGTTTAATATTTTGTTATCCTGTTGCCAGTGATTGTCCATTCCCACAAACAACTCTTGAGTATAGTTTCTCACATTTAACAATTCAAGAGTTTTTTGTTGCTTGTCATTTGGTGAAGAAGCGTGCAATGGCGGCACAAGAAACCTCTGAAATGGTGCACATATTCACGAGTGGTTTGTTGGGTTTAGATAAGGAGAACAACAACGATAAATGTATGTCGAAAGTACTAGAGTCTGTATGTAAACAAGTGGAGTATAAATGGAGACAACGCGTTGTGTTATTGCGCTGTCTCCATGAGTACGGCCAAGAGAAAGAATTCACAAGACAAGAACTGACTACAAATCGTGACTACAGATACTGGTCTAGTCGTGGGGGGTTTGTATTACGTGGTGTAACCGACACGGACTGTGATGCACTCGCTATGTTAGTAGAATCCACTGCTACATCAATGTCATCACCACCACACACATTGTACATTGAATACTCACAGATAACCATTACCGTGTTAAATAGATTGTTGTCATCTCTGATTCATTCAAACTGCACAATCACTGTACTATGGCTGGTGTGGTGTCGTTTGAATGATGAACATGTAAAGTGTTTGTGTAAATATTTAAACAACACTCACATCACCTCGCTAATCCTGTCTCACAATAACATATCAGATGTAGGGGTGCATCACATTGTCCATAACATACCTAGTAAACTAACCCATCTATACCTGCAATATAATCCAGTATCTGTAGAAGTTATTGAGAGAAGTAAACAATTCTGTAAGGATAATTATCCTGGACTTAGGTTCCACATAGATAATTTAATATTAGACTCAGGTTTGTAGTGATAAAAATATTTCAACACAACAAAAATCACATCAAACCATTTATTTTTCATCATTTCTTGGTAGTTTTCTACAATAGTGTATTTTACTTTTTTTCATAATAGGAATAGCTCCTAAATTGTAGCCTTATAGTTCTTGATATTTCGAAATTCAGAACATGATTTATGTTGAATTTTGAGGCCAATTGACATAAGCTGAAAGAAATATCACTCTTTGAACAGCTTGAAGAAAGCCAATTTTTTTGAGTATTTTTCAACATTGAAAGAATATTTTTAGAACTTTAAATTTAAATGAAGTGTCTTATCTTTGTATACAGCTTATCTTAACTTAAAATAGTAAAAATTTGCTATTGAGTTTATAGATCTAGATCATTTGGGCTTACTATAATCAACGAAACGAAACGAAACGGGGACCTGTATTCAACGAAACGAAATGGGAATCTGTATTTAACGAAACGAAACGGGAATCTGTATTCAACGAAACGAAACGGGAATCTGTATTCAACGAAACGAAACGAAACGGGAATCTGTATTCAACGAAACGAAACGGGAATCTGTATTCAACGAAACGAAACGGGAATAATGTGATATCCTGTCTTCAGTCAATTTTCAAAAATAGCTAGTCCGACTTCACGCTCCATGGCGTAATGACGTCACAGTATGTTTACATTGTGGATAGATGCTCAGAAAAAAGAGTCGAAATTTGTATCGATTAACATTCTTTCTAGCCTGAGTTCATCCAGCGTTTATAAACCGGATGTACGCAGGCTATATTCTTTCCGAAAGTAGAGCTTTAGTGTATCAAGTTTTGATGAACATCATGTATCAATGATAGCTCAGCTACATTTTATTTGATATGCAGTCACTCTGATCCCTTCTGGCGACCATAATCCTTAGCGTTAAAACAATAGAATGTTTTGGTGTGACGTAATTATGCGATAGGGCATTTGCTGTGTCATTCTGTAACCCTCTTGTGACTTTAATCCTTAACTTCAATCTTGCAATGTTTTAATCTGACGTCATAATGCANCAGAGAACCAACAAAAAAGGTATGTAATACTCACACTAGAGCATGCCAGCGTCAAATTGTCCGCTTTGAACCGATACGCAGAAATCCTACAACATGAGACGAAAGTGAATTGAAAACTAAATAGAAAACAAAAGGTTTGGAAGCGATGCCTAATAGTTATAAGGGACCTGTAAGAACTGAAATAGCAAATATCTAAGAATTTCATTCGTCCGAATTAAAAAGGACTTGAAAGAGTAGCACGAAGCATGTTATGCTAACCGTCTTATGCTTGCGCTTAAACCTACTCAGTATATGTCGATGTCTTATGCATTTTACGGCCACTTTCGCCATCCTTTATGCGTATGCCTCTTGCTTTGCATTGCAAAATAAGGACTTAAATGACAGTTGAAAACTAATCTTCAGTGTCTAAACGCCGGAACGTATCCTGAATTTTCTTTAGGGAGGGGTGCAGGTCACTTTGAGAGGGGTTCACTTCACAAAAATCTGCAAAAATATTGTCAAAAGAAGACACAAAATAAGGGAAAGTATTGAAGGGTGCAAGGTCATATGAAGGGTAAACCCCCCCTGCCCCAGCTGTATCCGCCCATAGAGTGAAAGTCATATTGCCGCTTTAATTGTTGTTCTTTTGTAACATGAAAGCAAAGAAACCCCATTTCTTTTAATTATTATTTTTTCAAGATTTCCAGACTTTCCAGAATTGTGTGCAAGTTAACCGAGCTGTTGATGATCAGATGAAAGTCGTTTACCGTAAGGCATAAGGCTGCAATAAATCAAAGYAAAAATCTTCGCGTTATCGACTGAATTATATCAGGCGAAAACTGAGAAAACAAGATGGACGCGAATACAAATAATTACAATAAGCCTACTTCTACAATCAATAACCACGATTCGAGTCCATACTCAACACAAAGCTGTAATAATATTACAGAGGACATTGGACAAGTAGCTTCACGGAATCTGGCTCCACCGATTGTACCCCCTGATGGCAATACTTCTTATGCCTACCCAACACTCCCTGGCATCCGTAATGAAGCAACAGAGGGTAGTGCAGATGATGCAATACCTTCACTAGATCTTGGCCAACCGATRTCACCCCCTGATGGTAATGCTTCTTCCGCTTACCCACCCCTCCCTGGCATCTGCAATAAAACAACAGAGAGTAGTAGACAGGCTGCAATGACTTCACTGCCTCTTGGTCAACCAATTGTACCCCCTGATGGTAATAATCCTCCTGCCTACCCACTTCCCTACCCTGGTCATTCTAACCCAAACCAACCAATGAATTTCCAGCAGCTTGCAATAACCTCWCAGCCTCTTGGTCCCATCATGTCACCCACTGATGGTAGTACCCACCCTGCCTACCCACCACCCTACCCTGGTAGTTCCTACCTTAACCAACCAACGAATTCCAAGCAGCTTGCAATAACGTCACAACCTCTTGGTTCGAATTTACTGATGCCACCTACTGACGGTGAAACTATTACTGCCAATCCACCTGGAGATCTCTACCCGAATTACCAGCAGATGTCTTCWGACCAGTCTTTGATCACGAATAACAACGCAGAAGCCAATGAGATAGCAGCTTTTATGAGTGTGAGTATTACGCTCTGAGATTCCTTTCAGCGGTAGTTTATTGTTAAATGGACGTCTTTTCCTAATGACGTCATGTGAATTGCGTCATGGTCAGTTGCTAGTTGAACCAAGATGGCGATTGTCGACAACGGAAGAGGAAATTTCTTTAATTGAGTATTCARCCCTATGAAAGCTCGAGAATCCTTCAGAAGCGCAATATAAATAAGATTATAAACTGCATTTATGTAGCGTAAAGGGTAAAGCCCTATTGTTTTTCCCATATTATGATGTATTGTTATCTTATAAAAACGTAAAAAAAAGCTCGTTAGGATTGCCAACTGCAAAAATTAGAGCAGGGCTGTCAACTCTTCAGGATAATCAGGGAGGTCATGGCACTGAGATTTATCGATCTCGAGGTATGAAATTRCCTGGGGTTGATAGCACCTGTTTCTCTGCTAGAGGGGACCGTTCATTTTTTATTGTGAGGAGGGGGATGATATTGAATATAAAAGTAAATTTATGGGATAATGATTTTGATTCCCCCCCCCCCCCCCAGACATGGTTTTCCCCCCCCCCCCCCAGACATGGTTTTTGTTTGGGTGTCCCAAAAAATGAACGCTCCCTAGTCTCTCTCGTTGTAGTTCCCCAAACGKAGCTGATTGACTAACGAAAATAAGCTTATTCTAACTTTTAGTTGTCTTTTATCATTACAGAGAGTCAGGTCCAATACGATRAAAAAGACTGAGGATGACGCTGACATGAGCTGTCTAGAGAAATGCTTCTATACCTCCATAKTAGTTTTACTTTTCATTTCGATCCCAGCATGCTTCCCTTGTTGGCTGGGCATGTTTTTATGGCATGTGTATCATAATGATGACGAGAAAGATAATTAAGATTGTTCTAATTKATTATTATATTCTTTGGTCTTGGAGCTCATTAAGTCATGGACATCACGACATAACGACATAAGCAGACGCAGAAACAGAAGCGCAGAGAAAGAAGCTGGTTCATGCCCATGACATAAGCACGACTTCAGTTGACACAAATATTTTTTTAACATAAGAAGATGCAAAAACATAAAGAAAACGTTTCATAATTTTTTATGCTTCTGCTTGTGTTTATGTTTTTTGAGATTCACAAGCAAAACATTTCCCTTCCTCTGCCTCTGCTTGTGTTGTAGTGTGAACCGTCCCTCAAGACTAAAACTTTCTGAACGTATTGAATATTATCTATTCTGTCAACAAAATGCAGCTTTCTCGCTTGTTATATTTAATTGCCCTATGGCGTAATGACGTCACAGTATGTTTACATTGTAGGTAGATATTCAGAAAGAGTCGAAATTTGTATCGATTAACATTCTTTCTTCCTAGCCTGAGTTCGTCCAGCGTTTATAAACCGGATGTACGCAGGCTATATTCTTTCCGAAAGTAGAGCTTTAGTGTATCGAGTTTTGATGAACATCATGTATCAATGATAGTACATCTACATTTTATTTGATATGCAGTCACTCTGATCCCCTTTGGCGACCATAATCCTTAACGTTAAAACAATAGAATGTGTGACGTAATTATGCGATAGGGCAATTGCTGTGTCATTCTGTAACCCTCTTGTGACTATAATCCTTACCTTCAATCATGCAATGTTTTAATCTGACGTCATAATGCAATGGTCCAATAAGTTTAGCTTATTGTTTCCTACCTGTTGAAGTGCTCTAAAATATTATTGATAAAAGGCAATAAAACTCGACAAATTTGAGTCCTAATAACTATAATAGAATTTTAGAGGCAGAGCATCTCAAGGATAAAAGTTAGCTTTAATCCACTGTTTTTAGTTTTTTCTTTTTAAATAATATATCCTGAGACAATATTTCTTACTAAAATAAAGTTGATTTGTAATTATTCTTGATTACTCTGTAAATATGTTTAAGTATATAATTATTTTGATTGGATCTAACAAACTATGTGTGTCATAACCTATCCAAGGTATATATAACAATGAATAACCATGCAAGTAAATCTACATACATTGATGTGGACAGCTACATTCAGTTGGTTCACGACTATTTTGGCTGTAGAATTGAACAGAATTTTGAATCGTTTGAAAACAGAAGCAACTTTGTCAAATTAAGTTGTCAAGGCACAAAGAAGACAAGGTAACCATTTTATTGATCATAATAATTTTCTTAGAGACGCACTATCAAACTACCATTGTATGACCCTATTAATGGAGTTTTTTCACTGTTATAAATTTTGTGCAATACTGCCGTTGCCAGTGCAAATGTAAGTCACCTGTGCGGGAAAAAATATACATCGAGCAGAAACGAAACGGAGTGGAGTTACTATTTCCGGTAGTATCGAAAATAGAAAAAGAAATCTACCATGATGTTTTGTACCGTTCTAAATCTACTGTTACTTRCTGTAAATATGCGTTTTCTAACGAATCTCCTACGGAGGAAAAGGGAAGAATTTTAAGAATCCTTAACTTCAGGAATTTTTACTAACAACTCTTGAGGATTTGGAGGAACATTCTTTCTTCCATTCTTCTCTATTACGACATTGTAATAACAAATAATTATTTTCCTTCAGCTTGTTTTAATAYTTCCAGAATTGTTTCGACCTAGCTGCACTGACCTACTGGAAAAGACGCCGGACAAATCCCCTCCGAATATAGCAATCGAATATTATYTTACAAGTCAAAAAATTAATCTAATAAATAGAAGATGGAAAATACAARTAATCCTTCACCAGTTGAAAATCAACCCACTTCAAGCAACGATCCGAGTTCAAACTCATCTCAAACCTGCAATGACACAACAGCAGAAAGTGGACTAATTGAAATACCTTTAAAGGATCTTGATCCACCAACGGGACCCCCTGATGGTAATTCAAATCGGGGTTACACATCCGACCCTGGTAACTCCAAAGAGACAACAGAGGAGAGTCAACAGGTTGAAATACCTATAGAACCTCTTGATTCACCTTCGGGGTCTGATGGTAAATCCTCTACGACGTCCTCACCCCAGCCTGATAACTGCAAAGACACAACAGAGGAGAGTGGACAGGTTGAAATACCTAYAGAAACTCTTGATTCATCTACGGGGTCTGATGKTAAATCCTCTACGACGTCCTCAYCCCAGCCTGATAAATGGAAAGACACAACAGAGGAGAGTGGACAGGTCGAAATACCTTCAGAACCTCTTGATTCACCGACGGGACACTCTGATGGAAGTGCTTCCCCTGCTTACTCAACTCATCCGGATAACGAAGCCATGAATTCGGAGGATGTTGTAATAACTTTAAAACCAACGCAAAGCTATGATGACACAACTGAAAGAGATGCGGAACAGGCTCTTGGTTCACCGACTTGGTTCAACGAAACTGATGCTCCTACGACTTACAACACATACCCTCCATACCCCATCCATACTGGATATGTCAACGCCATGGCGTACGATGTTTTAAAAGTGAGTATGGTTGACAGTTACATAATCAGATAGTTCATCCTATTAACGTTGTTTAGTTGCAATACAACAACAACGTCATTTGCATATTTTATCACGATTTTTTCGGGTTTTCTATAGAGACTATAGTTCAATTGGCTCAGAATGCTTGAAATATAAGCTATACTTTTAGAATGCACTTGCATTGTAATTATCAACACCGGAATTTTAATCTGAATCAGTCTTGTCTTTTGTGAATAGGATTGGAAGGAACAAGAAGAAGAAAGAAACCGACAAAACAGATGTAAAAGATATCTCATCATTGCTATAGCCCTTATTTTATTCCCACTTTGTATTCCATTTTTACTGATTCTTCTGCCTTTCAAAATATGTTGTGGGGATGATGATTAAGCCSTATTATTGTATTGCAGAAAATTGCACTAAATCTGCGCTAAATCTGCACTAAATCTGCACAATCCCTTTATTGGAGTGATCGCACTTAAACCGTGCAAATGTGCTAAATCTAAGTAGTACTAATTTGTTCTAAAATTGGACCTGAACAAAAAATGATATTGAATGCTTCATTTGTATCAATTCAAGTTAATTTGCGTACCGCATGTACGATTTACTAAATGCAATTAAATAGAAATATTTAGTTTGTGCAGTTGCAAGGTTTAGGTGCGATCACTCTAAAAGAAAAAAATCTACCTTAATCACCATTGGTCATTACTTAGTGCTGCAGTTGAGGAAGCCACGATAGTCTAATTAAAGATGTTTCTCTTTGAGGACCAAAATCAGAAACGTCACTGAGCAAGCATCACAGGCATCCCAAGATAGGTATTTGTGTGGTTTTAAGCAATTTTTTAAAATATACAAATTTCAAAAAAAACAAAAAAAACAAAAAAAAACATTTATCTGTGTGTGGATTTTCTTTATATTTCTGTAAAGTTTCATGTCATTTGCTTCAATATTGAATGATTTATAGATCAGTGTTATTCATAGGACGCTGGAGATAAATATATTTATATATTTTGAAAAAATTACTATAAACCACACTAATACCTAGATTGAGATACCTGTGCAAGAATCAATTCGTGGGTACAAAACAAGATTAATTGAGATATTGTCAAAAGTTTAAAAAGCTCAAAAACTTACTTATAAACTCTTGCTATGCTAAAAGTTCATATTCAAATAAAACAAAAAATGAAGAATGCACTTAATTTTTTTAACTATATTTACAAATCGTTTACACTTCCCTGTCCGCAACGTGTTTATGCATTTTACGTAACGCTCTCCGTGTCACGTACTAAGCTCGACTCCTTGTATGCAACGCCTTCCTTTAACGTCCCATGAGTTACGCACTGCATGTAACACTTTCTACGTCACGCAGTAAGTGTAACGGCGTGCATGAATAAAATATCATCACGCCCTTTGATGCTTAATGAAATAATGCTCTCAGTGTCACGCAATGTACTTCGTTTAGATGAAGTAGATGATATACAATGCTCTATGCGCAAGTAGGGCTTTCAAGTCGAGATTGTCATGGTAATAGCACTGGTTTCTATGGTTTCCAGAGCTTCAATTGACCATCTTCACTATACGTGGCCATTAAATTCTGATGAGGATGATGAACCATGCCAATGACGTCTTTCTCATGGATCTTGAAATAGAAAAACAAACATGTCAAGACGTTTTTTGTGCTGTTTTTATCTCATCTCGCGATTAGCAATGTATAGCGACGCCATTTTGTACAGCAAAGMATGATGGGAGTTATAGTGCTTGCACTTTAAATCATCCTAAAAGCCCAATTCACGTTTTCTTTGTAGACTAGTTCCATTAATGTAGACAAAAATACAAAACCAGCTTGGATGACTACTTTACGGATATGAAAATCTGCGAGGACTACAACTTCCATCATCCTTTGTTGCACATAATTGCGTCGCTGTACATTGCCTATCAACAACTTAATTTCATTGCTTCTTTTAAGAAGACTTGATTTTGAGTCCCTGTCATCCAACATTGTTGAATGAGCCAACGTTTTTCCGTTTGATGTCATAAATCCTAAAATAGGTATTGCCGCTTGATATACAGTTATATCAAAAACACACTGAGGACTGAATACTTTGATACTGCATAGCGAGAGCATAAGATTATTGCTTTTAAAACCCTGGAAGTAAGTCTCAACTAAATTGCTTCAATCAAATGTTCACGCAAAGTCACTTTGAAAACCACTTTAGTATTCAACGTCTTCAGAAACATCAAGTTGGCCATCATGATTGTTAACACATACCTGCAGCGACTGTTCAAGTTTTCCAGTTGTTGTACTAAAGCAATACAATACCATGTCCTCCCCTACACAGTACATCCACTCCCCCCGTGGGGACAGGATACAACAKGTGAAGTCTCCACCTTCACGTTTACCACTAGTAAAACTACGGACGATCTGCAATGACAAAATAATGGCTCACTGTTTGTACAAATAGAAGTTCACATGTCCCTGTCTGCTAAAAGGTCGACAAATGTATGATCAAGGTATTAGAAGACAAAAGAAAGCACTCCTTTCCCCTAGTCCAGTCCTGTCCTCCCTTCCGATGCYCTCCACAACTCGCAAGTCCTAGAGTTGGTCGAAAGGAGTCCAGGATTGGACTATCCTTTCCCCCAGTACAGTCAGCTCTCGCCTTACAGACACCCCGATATTACGGACACGAAATACGGAATCCCCGGCGAAAAATACAAAGAAATGACTAAAAGTAACTCCCGTTAATACGGACTGCTGGCACTAAATTACGGTCCCGAGGGTGTCCGTAATAGCGAGAGTTGACTATACAATGTTCTATTATAACAATACTAACCTGGCCTTGCATATTCATAATTACAACTGTATTCGACCGATTACAGACAACAAACTGTTCCAGGTTCTTTGGGAAGAGGTGGACAGAGTTGACTGTGATGTCTGTGGTAACAGCACCAACAGACGGTTTGAAAGTGTGCTGACATTCAGTTGATTTGATGTTCCAAATCTGAAAATCATCAAGAAATAAATACCATAACAAAATGTAAGTTTGTCCTGTTATAACCCCTTGTAGTTTGCATTTGAATGCAGTTCCTTTTGGGGCTTAATACGAGTTCCTGAATCCTTTGTTTTCTAGTACCACAGAAGCTGTGTAATGCAAGCAGTCCATGGATTATTGCCATGTATCAGTCATGTGAACAGTACTTACCTTAACTGTCCCATCACTGCTTGCACTAATAATACTRTGTGCATCTGATGTGAAGATGACATCATTTACAAACGAAGTGTGACCTCTAAATTCCTTGAGAGTTTTACCAGACTTTAATCCATGCATTCTGCAAAATACATTAAAAATATATTTTCCTCCTTTCTCTACATAACCTAAGGTTGTATTGGACTTACCTTATTGTCATGTCAAATGAACCACTCAAAAGTTGGCTGGCATCACGAGAGAAAGTCACACAAGTCACACCTTTAGCATGCGCTCTTTCAAATCTTCTCAGACATTGACCAGTCTGAAGTTTCCATACCTTTATAATACAGTAAATAATATCTTTAGTAAAAAACACTTATCCAGCAGATAAAATCCTTGCAAAATCTATGGAGTAGATAACTTTATCAACAATTGTTGAACTAGCTCCTGGCATGTAAAACTTAATCCTCGGGAACTTTGTTGTTCGTTCCTCACTCCCAGAAAAATATACTGGGCCAAACACTTTCTTTAGTATTTAAATTAATTCCTAAAATTAATAGTAAAAGTTCTTTTTCTTTCACAACGTATGTGTAATTAGGTGTATATACAGGTAATTCCTTTTAGCGATATTCTAGGGGTATTTTTCTGGGAGCGAGGAACGAACAATAGAAGATTATCCCTGGGTTGTCAAGGATGGTAAAACTTTATTCAACCTTCGTATAGCCATCTCTAACCTTAATCTTTCCATCCTGGCCACCAGACACAAGCATCTCACTGTCTCTACTAAAATCCAAGCACAAGACACTCTGGTCCATCATCATAAAGTTCTCTTGTGCTTGATACTTTAGATCTTTTCTTATYTTTCCTGTTGTGAAATTCCATACTTCTATAAACCCATCAACRCTACCGGTCACCAAGTACTGTCCATCTGGCGAGAATTTAGCACATTCTGGATGAGATTTGGTTCCAAACTATACAAAACATAGATTTACCATCTTTAGTTAATATACAATATAACTCCATGAAGAACAATCTAAAATTTCCTTAGTGATGTGAAGTAAAATGGACTTCTTAAGGCATTACAGTACATTGCTAAGATGTTTATTCAGGCGTTTTGCCCGTAAGGACTTCATCAGTGTGAGAATAAATAACAAAGGTTACAAGATTATAAAGCATTATAAAGGCTGATTGAATAAGGTCTAATAGGTCAATGTCATTCAAGGTTCAGTGCATGTCTGACTCAACCATTTGAATTTTCATGCTTGCCTATTTCCAGGGCTTCCACAATTTTATGTGTGTGTCTGTGTCTAATGTTAGTGTGTAATAACTCCCATTTCAGTTTCAATTTAAATTTGAAATCAGGCTACCAGTATCTATATTCTATCATAAAACAATTTATTGACTCAACTCCAACAAAAAATAACAATAACACAGAAATGCTAACATCTTTGGTGCAACAGGTTGTTTGACATACTAGGTACATGTAAGTTCCTATTTTAGCAAGAAAGAAGATACATTTTACATTCTTACATACTGTAATACATGTGTCAGACCTTATTTACTACCCAAAATCATTACTAATTTCTGGAAATTCAGTGGCAATCATCATTTACCTTGATTGTCTTGTTTAAAAGTGATGGATATCTCTCCTCTTCTTCATCCCTRACAGCAGCCTTACCACGGAATAAATCAATGGTAGTGCCTGGTGGTAGTAGACCTTGGTACTGCTGCCAYTTWAGTGCTTGACCCAAGAGAGCCATTAAACGAGATGGCGGCACAACTGATACTTCACCTGACAATGCTGAGGAAGATAGGAAATTCAGAAATATAAGTGTTGCTGCATGACTGGGTGACAGAAAATACTACAGTAGATCTCTTTAAGAGATTTACTATAATTATGTGCAGTAATATTTCAAATTATTGCTTTACATGCTATCAGCATGTATTATTATTATTACTATTGAAATATTTTGTGTGCAAATTGATGGCGAAAACATGTAGGATTTAACATAATAAAAAATGAATATAAATTTTGTACAATCAATATAAAAAAGGATAAATAAACAATTATTAATTACTAATAATTATTACTATTATCACCTTGAGCTATGGCTGCCCTTTTTCTTTCCTTGCTTCCTCCTTCAGGATAAGCCTACAGAAATGACAATAAAAACAAAATTACAGTCCTGTATAAGTCACAATTTATACATTTTAAATACAATCTGAACAATGGTTTTCACTAGACATATCGCATAACCATAACCATAAGCATAATCATAAAGCATGCTCTCAATCGGCAATAAGCACAAGAATAAGCCTGAAAAATGACTTTTCTCATGACATACTGTAGGAATTAGTACAAGAAAAATTGAAATGTCAGTACTTTATTGCTATGCTTATGTTTGTCGCTATGCATACATGTGCTAGCGGAAATTTTTTTATAGGTTTTCATAGTAAATTTGTTCAATTATTGTTGATGCTTATACTTGTTGCTATAGTTACAGTATACTTATGAGTGACAACACCATGTTCAGTAACATACCTCTCTGGTATCAAAGTAAGATTTGGCAAGCATGTTTTCTAAGTGGAGGTATCTGTCTGCTTGYTGTTGCTTCAGCATTATCATGGGATCTGTCTGACGTAGGAGTGATCGTGCAGCACCAAGCTCTCGCAACTCTATCAACTCAAGTACAATCTAAAGGTGATTGAAAAAAGAGACTTTGTTATAGGTAGCAAACTACTGTACTACATGTAGGCACCACCATATTAAATCATGAAGAAACAAGTGCCATGAGTGGCAAAGTGTAGTATTCATGTACATTGTAGTATTCTTCACAGTTCCCTGCGCCATGTTGAAATCTTGCGCATTGACTTGCACACATTGCAGAAATATTTAAAAACAATAAAAATTGGTGCATCTCCTTGCGARGAAAGTTGAACAGTAAAAAATGGTGAGCAAAACTCTGATCAAAGGGACTCGGGTGGAATTTCTCTTATGCACTTTCCAATCATGTGTGGCAGGCTTTATATTATACTCTGATAAAGGACTTGTTTGAAGCTTGCGCCTGTCTTTAGTGCTCTCATCACTATCAGGAATGCTCTATTCCTGACTGGAGCACGGTAAAGCCTATTCTATTTGTGAAATAGAGACTGGGAAGGTTGGGAAGAGGAGGTAGCTAGGCCGCTGCAGGGGCGTAGCGTGGAAGTTTTGGCCAGTACACACATGTCAGGGAACACGCACATATAACTCTTGGAAATGCGATTTCCAGCATTTTGAGAGACATCGAGGGCGTATAAAAGTGTGAATCTTTCAGTGATTTTTGTGAAAATTTTAACTTGCCACTAATAGCATGAGCGTATATGCGTAAAGGACGCTAYGCACCTGCTCTGCACCAATTTGAGACAGCAGTTGAGCTTGCAATGATAGATATCTGTGAATAATTGTCTTTGGTGTGAACTAACAGATGGTATCTATCACTGCAGGCTCAACTCGTAATAAATGGAAGATCTTGATAGTTCAAATCAATATTACCTGCTCATATAAATCAATCAGAGTTTTATCTGGGAGTTTTAATGATTGTATGGCTGTTAAAACAGTATCCCAATGTCCACAGTTGATTTCAGTGACAAAACTCTCAACACTGTCTACAGTATTCAATGTTATACTTGTCTCCTCCTGATTKTAAACARAAAAAATTAAAACATCAGRTCATATTTTATGTGTTTCAAAGGARGAAAKTCTATAGAAAGATACATTTACCTGCAATGTCGAAAGAGTTCTTTGTAGATTATTTTCCTTGAGAAATTGTTGAATAAGCCTGATAACACTACAATAGGAYGCGAACAGCATATCATGGATTAGAAGGTATTCTTCGCGAAAATTTAACGATAAACAAAAGCTATTACACAGATAAATTAACTAGAAGATCATAGATAATAGAAACATAAGTATTTAGCATCTAGAGAACWAAAAATACAAGTTTCTCTTACTCTGCAGACTCTACTTCGAGCGCCATCTTGGATTTMAATGCGAAGGCAATGCYTCATGGGAACTACTTTTCAGTGCTTTWTGTAGAGGGGAGGGGTAAAGTTTGTTCTCTTATCTTAGTCTTAATAAATATAAAAAGAAAATAAGCACCCAAACTATTCTAATAAAAGTCATTGAAATTRAGTCATTAATCACTCGAGCTTTCAAATACCCTTAATATTCTATTTCTTGACAACAWTTTTCTCTAGATTATATTAGTATCTATACCTCCCCTCCCTCACCTAAATGTTTGTCATGCACRTGTGTTTTTGGGCAAAATGGCGGGCCGAGGTCGCGGAAGAGGTAGAGGCGCAAATTTACCAGAGAATCGGCCAGGAATTCCTACAAATGGCACCACATCTTCTSAGCCACTAGTTGGAGCAAGCAAGGAGCCCATTGCACCCGCTCCAGTGAACAAATTTGATGAAATTTGCAAAGAATTCAAAAATTTGAAATTGACATCAAGCAACGATACATTGACTGACCTCGCCAAGAGAGCAAAAGATTTAACGACCTCAGACGATCAGTTCTTCAAAATCATCGACATATTATATCAAAAAGTCTTTCAAGATAAYGAATTTGCAGCCAAAGTGGCGGAACTCGGAAAGACTTTGAGTTCCCTTGACGAAGTTGGAGGTTGGAAGTTTCGATCTTGTCTGCTAAAAAGAGCACAGGAGCACTACAAAAACAGAGAAAACCTCAAGRAAAACTCTGCACTGGAGTGGACAGGACTCTTGTGCCTGATTTGCGAGATATTCAAAGTTCTAAGGATAAGTGGGTCGCCATTAAAGCCATTGACAGGACCAATTTATGAAATGCTTGGCGAACTGTTACAAAATCTTGATGACAGTGAACACATTGAATGCTTTCATGGACAATTTAGAAACATTGGAAAGATGCTTAATGATATTGATCAGGTAAACTTAAATGTAATGAGATTTATAAGGTMGGAAAGGAAATTGGAATGTGAATGGCTGAAATAAATGGAAATGGGAGGGAGCCAAGTGGTTAGCACGCGCTAGTCTCCTGGAACCATTCTTGTACCCAGACCTTTACTGCTCTGAGTGCTTTTCTCCAAGTACACTGCTCTTCCTCATATAAAAACTATCTATCATGTAGGTAGTGTCATATTTGAAAATGGAAGCTCGTGTACATGTAGCAAGCAGATGATTTTTCAGACCAATATCAATTTATAACCTTCTAGGTAAAGATGGATGACCTTATTAGTAAAATAAGAGATTCTATACTTAGTGACAAGTCCACCTCTGAGACAAGATGTTTGCTCACTGAACTTCTGGAGCTGCAAGCTTCAAATTGGTCTTTACGCCCTGAAGTGGAGCGTTTCTATTGCGATGCCATGGCAGATATACTTGCCAGTCATGGTTAGCAATCTCTTGGGTATGTTTGATGATGTATATAATATAGTAGTGAGGTTTTTTATTGATTATGAAAAGAAAATGACTGTATAGTTTGTACTGTTAATAAAGAAGTCTACCACTAAAAATATTTTTTACGCTTCACTATTCTTATGGTTGACGGAAGACCACTCTAGACATTTGAGAAATGATTTTATATCWGGATCTGAAATGCAAATGTGTYGAGGCAAAATCATAACTGTTTGAATGTTTTTGCTTTAGGTGTTGCAGAATACAGAAGTCATGATAACAGAGGCGTAGACTTAATATAATRTTTAAAGGAACWAAATTGRATATTCATCAGGCATTGGATCTAGAATTTTGGAACTGGCTCCTTGAACGATATTATTGTATTAATAACGTCAAACAAAAAAATGGACATCAGATACATTTGCACACATAAAATGAAGGAGTCATTTCACTTTATGCTATGCTTTCTCATAAAATAATGCATTACTGCACAGTACTCAAGTTTTTCTAATAATTATTTTCACCTCAAAGAGGTTTTAAACTTKTTTTGAAATAAATAATTGTAAAATTTTGAACTAGAAGACATTTTTTTTTCTTAGATACGAAAAGACTTTTCATGTGCAGGTTAACAGTATTGAGCAAAGAAATACTTTTTATTGATTGTACTCATAATAAACACAATATTAATTTTATTATCAATAATATGTACAGGAATATTTAAGGTGAAGTCATCAAAGCCTGTAAAAAAACAATTAATGCAATCAGAGTGTATGAAGGACGTATTGGTGTAATACATATTTCACTGGTTTTTTGACTTCAATCTACTGAATTTTTAGCACTTTTAACTAAAAGAAGTAATCCAAATACTTTAAGTATATTACATTTTAGCTAGAGTGGATGTACTCTGATAAACCTTGAAACAAATGTTGCTAATAACTACTATGTTTATCAAACAATAGAAAACAAAACAATTAGTATAATTTAGTACTAAGTYTCACAGATAGTTTAAGCTCTACTTAGCCTTTGCAAGCTACTTTTTAGCTAGGGGAAAATAAAAAAAGAATATTGTATAAAAGGTCTGATCTTGTTTGTTCTTCTCTATTTACATTTGTTGTGAATTGCTATCATTTCAGTGYACTAGTTTCTCCATTTCAGTTCTCACTGTTTTTGCAATGTCTTCRAATTCTTTGATGCTATTTTGAAGAATCTTGTTCTGTGAGGAAAGTGAAAACAGAGATCATAAATGTATCAATATAAAACTAAGACCAAAAAAAGTCTTGTAGAGTAAGTTGTAAATGAATGTTATAGCCAATAAAAACTTGTATCTCTGCCATTTGTTAATRTGCTCTTTGTGTGAGAATTCCCTCCAATTACTACCAAAATTACCTAAGGATTTTACACGTTTTTTTAGCTTGTTTCAATGTTATTTTTGTGATACCAGCCACAGTCTTTTCAGAGCTTTCAAGAACTACTTATTGACTGGACCACATCKTAAATAAACATGTTAATGATTTCAAACAACAATTATTTCTGAAACAGAAAAGCTAGATCAAATTCTTGCACTCATAGTTGATCAATTCTGTAAAGAAAGGAAACCTTGACTACAGATACCTTTTATAAAACCTACTTCTAATAATTTTTGGTACACGTGGATCAAAAGAACAGTATTTTTGATTGAGGACCAGTATTTCTATTTTTAAAAGATTTAGTAGTACTTTTTGGTGGTAATTAACTTTACGGATTTAGTTTGTCAGCTCTACAAGTAACACTTACAACCCTGTTCTCCTGCCGTTTGACTTCAATGTCCAGAAACTCTTCAATTGTGATATCCTCAGAGTTTTTGTTTTTAGTGAGAAGGAAAGTACACCGAGGTGAATGCTTCTTGTGTTCTTGCCTGAAACATAGAGTATAAAGAGTTAAATGATTTGGTAAGGTTGGTTTCTTATGCACAACCACCCTTTCTGTCCTTCGAATCCTCTCGTGTCATTCCATTTTATATCCTATACCCCCACTATAGAAAGGGTCATCCAACAACACAAGTAAAGATCAAAGGTGCCAACACATTCACTTCCTCAGAAATTAAGTAATCTGATTTTTGCTTCGCCAGCAAGAAAATATCAAAAGATCAATTCTGTGGCACATTTACCCCCAGAAATTTGAATTTGAGAATGCCCTGGAGAAAATCTTATACCAAGGAGTGTGTGGATAAAATGGAATGAGGGATTGACATTTATAGGTGCMTGCATGACAATTAGAGTGCACGTCACATAAGCATGAAACAATTCTTAATATGTATTGCTAAATAAGATTTAGTTATCAACTAACTAAGAATTCAACAAAGCATAAACACAATGCCAATTATTTAAATTTCTTTGTAGCATTGTTCTCAATTCTTAGTTAGTTGATAACTAAATCTTATTTAGCACTACATAATTAAGAATTGTTTCATGCTTATGTGACTTGCACTCTATTTATGAAAATACACAGTACCATGGATCATCTTCTGGTTCCCAGCCCTCCAGCTCTTTGAAGCAGACAAAACAACGTGCAACATCTGGGTCACGATCTGTAGGACTGTGATAGAATCCTGCCTCTGCCATCTGTTTAATAATAACACCAAGCTTTTTATCATTAAAGAAATGTTATTTAAAGTAAGAATGTGGCATCTTATAAGCTTAATTATAAAGCTTCGTATATTGAATATTATAATTTATTCAAATTTGTTAACTTTATAGTCAGGTTAATACACTGATGATGGACGATGGATGTCGTCCGAAATATTTGTATTAAGAAACTTTCACAAAGCGTTTCACAAAGCAAAATGCCATAGAAAACAGAGAGAAGCATCCTTTCCTTCATTTATTACCTAAAAGTCAACAATTTGTTACTAACTAAAAGCAACTGTGATATTWACAAAGCTATTTGCAGTGTGAATGACCTTGAATGATCAGAAAATTGCCCATCTAAGATTTCCGTTCAATGTCTAAGTTACCTTATCTGAAGTACATTTGCTACCATCGTCTTCATCAAAAGGCCAGTCCACGAATGTTGCTCGCCTATTTTTTTCAATATTCATACTAAAATCGTACTTCAACGATTCTGAAGCCATTTTCTTACTAGAATCGATCGTTGTAGCAAACACAACAAAAACTAAACTGATTTGAAAAATGGCGGTCTGAAGTCTAGAACCTAGTCCCTATGAGAAATACACAGGGATCCCTATCCTTAATCATTTCGGTTTTAAACGTTGTATTTATTTTGTGAAACTTTTATTTTCAACTGCTGATTCCAACTAAAGCAAAAGGAAATAAGATGCTTTCCTTTTGTTAAAATTAACAACTTTTTCCTAATAAATATGAATTCACTATTCTAAAATAAAAGTGGGAAAAATGGGAAAGGAATGCATAAAAAGATGGGACAAGAGCAATACAGTCAAAAATAGAAAGAAGAAAGACCTACAAAATTTTGAGTACAAATATTTAATTTTAATTTTCAATTAATTCTTATATGTTTATCCTTCTCAAGAGCCAACAACATCCAAAGCAACCACAAAAATTTGGAAAGGGTTTATGTGCAGAAAAATGGGGAGGTAGAACACAAATTCTTGCATCTTCGGTATATATGTTCCCTAATCATGACTAGCCATTTCAAAAAGATGTCAAATACCTGAATGCTACATAGAGTACAAACATTAAATGTGTGCATTATTTTACACTATTTACTACAAAATAGTGTTAATTAAACAATAGAAAACAATAAAATTAGCATAATTTAGCAGTATTTACTGGTAGTTATGTTGCACAGTTTTAGTGCTTGTACTCTAATGAATAACATAACTTAYAAGTTTATATAAGTTATAGCTAAAATATAAAGTATACTGTGATTAATTACTTAAATAAACTGCAATAATTACTAATAATAAGATCCGTAATCCTGATTTCTGGCTCAAGATTAATCAAGCTTGGAACAACCAGGACCTGCAATACATTGTTAAAACTATTGCCTTGCATAGTTTTATAGAATGGATGCACTTAATGCATGAAACAAATAGTAGTCTAGAGTACTCACATTAAATGCGTGAAATATAAATACTACAAAATAGGTGATAAATTATACAAATTTCTTTGTTTCCTATTGCATAATCAACACTATTTAGTAGTAATTAGTACTATTTTTTTCACGCTTTAAGTGCAAGCACTCAACCTGAATTACTACTACACAGTGTTGATTAGACAATAGAAAACAAAAGTAATTAGCATAAGTTATTAATATTTTGTATTTTTTAAGTTTCATGGATTAACTGCGTCAGTTGTAGACAAAAAAATGTGTATTTTGGAAATGAAAGGACTCTAAATTCTCAATGTTTAGATGTTAAATGAGCTCAGTGACATTGTCCTATCATTTTCAATTAAAATTTGCTGTAAAGCTTTACAGTTCCTGTTGCATCATGAAAAGTAGCAAAACCTTCATATCAAAGCTMGACAGAAMTTGAGCTTGCAATGATGGATACCTAATAATWATCTTAGGTKTGAACAAAAGGTATCTTTCACTGYAGGCTCACATCCTGTCTCACTTTGATGCAAAGGCTTTTAAGATGGCACTCGGAACTCATAAAATGAAGTATTCCTTGTGATAACGCTCATATGCTATAATATTCAACATCCTTTGAATTGACTGTATACATATTTAATAAAAGTATAAGTTGATACTTTTGGGAGCTTTTCTACAGAGTTTGCAGTCCATCCCTGAGTCTTGCACTCCTTCTAAATATGTCCCTTCTTGGAGAATGCCATATTGTGGTTTTTACAACAGGAAAACAAATGAGCTCAAATGACAGAAGTTCAATAAAATATCCTGTATTAAACTACAGTACAGATACAAAGGTCAGGATCCAACTGGCAGTTTTCCCGTAGAGAATGAAGTTGTTTGTTTGTGACTCAGCTGCGTGGTAATCCACACATCTCACATGACTCCATYACTTGATTGATAAAAGTACAATGCTTGCAAGTCCATGAAGATCCACCAGTCTGTTGGCTGACATCTTCCATATCAACATCGCCAGGTAAGTGTGATGATGACAGACCAGGTGTGGGCCCTATTTGGAACAAACAAACAATCAACAATTGCTGTCCTAGCATGACTGACATGGAGCGCCACAGAGTTGCACCTGGGCCATAACTTCCTTGCACTACAGTATACATGTACATGTCAATCATAACTTTCAATTGATTTTTAGGGTGCCACAGGTGGCCTAGTGGTTAAGCTGCAAGCTTCTTATCRCTGTGGTCGGCAAAAATCAACATGTGAGGAGTATTGTGTGCTAAAATATTTAATGTAGAGTTAGTGAGTGTGAGAGTACAGGGTCCGCAGTAATTGGCTCAAGACTGCAGTGTCCCCACCAAACTTTCCAATTCTCTCAAAATTATAAGCCATAACTTGTGTTTTCAGAAATAAATTTTTTCCCCTTACACTACCATGATGATAAAGAAATTTGATTAAAAAATAAAAATAATTAAAATTAAAATCAAAAAAATTCACAATACACAAAACAATGATTTTTGGCTTTAAATGAAACCATTTGAATGATGTTTTTGTTTGTTGTGGCATAGAAGTTTTTAGAAGAATTGTTTACCATGYGCAGCAATAATCTCTTCTACTGTTCTCCAGTGTTCACTCTTTCTCCATTTATCTAAAGCTTCCATATCGTTACACTTAATTGCTTGACACAATGTTGCTAATGAGTTCTATAAAAACACAATTATTTATAAGCAATTAAATCACAGACCAAACACATAGCATTTGAAGTCTCCTCCTGCAGCCGTTAGGGGAGAGACCTGGCAATGAGCTTCATAACAGCTTCAAGAGGAAACTATTAATAGCATTTGAAACCTTGTGATTATTAAGGGCCAGTTCACACTATGTCATAAGAAAATAAT